TGAATATTATTAAGAGGTCTACCAAAATCTGTTGGCATTGTTTTCTTATTATATTCAATTATTTTTTCAATTTCATTACAATTATTTTTTGAAATTTTGTATTCTGTATTATTTAAAATTTCATTTTTAAAAAATTTGCCTGTAAAATGACGAAACATATGAGGAGCAATATTTTCAAAAAGTGCATGCATAATATCTACTGGAAATGATAAAGAAAAATTAATTGAAGATAATTCAAATAAAATACTATATTCATTTACGCTTTTTTTACATTCTTTACTATCTAGAATATAACTATTATGAGAACGCATTGGTAAATTTTCTGGTTCTTAATTATTATATTCTTGTAATGATTGAAGTGGATAATACATATATCTAGCAGTTTCAGAATAAGATCCTTTTATATAACAATAGCGGTATCTATATTTAGCATTATGATCTGAAAGACATATAACTTTAGATAAAGCAAAAATATCCCCAGACTATGAAAGAATATAGCAATGCAATTTAAATGTTTCTTTTAATATTGCATCATAACATGTTATACCACATTAAAGCTGCTTTAATTCATCAACTAATGGTCATAAAAAACTATTAAAATCTTTTGGAGATTTTGGTCCAGGTATAACCATATTAATTTTTAAATTTTTTTTTTTAACCCTTTTTGATGATGGAAGATTTGCATTTAAAAGTAAAATTATCTAATAGTCATTTCGTTTTTGTTTAAAAACTTGATAGCTATCCATAGATAAAAGCAACATCTCTATAATCTATAAATAAGCCTGATTCTACTAATGTTTTATATCTATTACTATCAAAAACATTCCCAATTTTGCTATTCTCAGAAGTATATTCTTTTCTTGATGTATATTCATACCGGTATCTAAGATCTTTTGCTTGTGATAGATTTTTATATTGTAATTTTAAGCTATTAGCTATTGAAAAATATGCTAATTGTTTTTTAGATTTTTTTGATTTTTTTTAGTTGTATATCATGACTCTTTACATATAGGACATGTATTAAGATTAGTATTTTGCCCAGTAAATGCACAGCAAGAATTCCAACAAATATCTATAAGTTTTGGTTTTAGTGAAATCAAATTTTCTAAAATTTTTCGAAGTCGATAAAGAGAAACTTTAGAAATATTAAATATTTCTAATATTTCATTAAATGCTTGATCAGAAATTGTATGTTTATCTTTGATATAAAGAAGATGAAGCTCTTTAATTATTTACTTGGTAAATCTAAAATATAAAAATATTAATATAAAAATTTTTAAAAAAAATTTTAAATAAAATATTAAAAATAATTACTATTAAATTTACCATTATCAAAATTCTCTTCTAATTCATCCTCTTCTAATTCACCCTCTTCTAATTCATTCTCTTCCTCCAATTCATCCTCCTCCAATTCATCCTCCTCTAATTCATTCTCCTCCAATTTATTCTCTTCCAATTCATTCTCCAATTCATTCTCTTCTAATTCATTCTCTTCCAATTCATCCTCTTCCAATTCATCCTCCAATTTATTCTTTTCTAATTCATTCTCTTCCAATTAATTCTCTTCCAATTTATTCTCCAATTCATTCTCTTCCAATTTATTCTCTTCTGATTCATCCTCTTCCAATTCCTTATTTTTTAAATCTAAAATATAAAAAATTAATTCAATTTAAAAAAATTAATTCAAAATAATAAAAAATTTTTTTAATCTTACTT